AACTTTTTTATGTAATAATAATAATGTTTTACTATCACTAGCCTATTTAAATATTGATGTAACTTTTATGTAATAATAATAATACTTTTACTGTCACTAGCCTATTTAATTATTCATATTATTTTTAATGTAATAATAATAATAATACTTTTACTGTCACTAGCCTATTTAAATATTCATATATTTTTTTATGTAATAATAATAATGTTTTACTATCACTAGCCTATTTAAATATTGATGTAACTTTTTCATGTAATAATAATAATGTTTTACTGTCACTAGCCTATTTAATTATTCATATTATTTTTAATGTAATAATAATAATAATGTTTTAATGTAATAATAATAATGTTTTACTGTCACTAGCCTATTTAATTATTCATATAATTTTTAATGTAATAATAATAATGTTTTACTGTCACTAGCCTATTTAATTATTCATGTAACTGTTTTATGTAATAAAAAAATTATAATGGAATAATTTTAAATTAGTATTTTTTATTTGTAATAAAATAAAAAATACCAATTTATAATTATTTCATTATACATTTTCAAATTTTATTAAAAATTCTTTTTTTCCAGAGGTGAAGTTTTTAAAACGTAACTTTTAACCTTTATGTTCCATACAGACATTCACTGGGTAACAAAGTTCAAAGCAGAGGTGATAACTCATGAAAACGTTTATTAAAAATTGACACACATCTCTTGTAAAGAGTCATCTGTAACTACATTACATGTGCACATCATGTAACTTATATAAAATACAACTGTTTTCATAAGCAATACTATCATGACAATTTTCCTGCATCACTTTTATAATCAGACATCATGACACAACTGTACAGTTGTTACAATAACCTCAAAACTGTGTTGAGTACATTCCAGTACATTTTTGTGTATACAGCTCTTGGAACATTTCCCAGTCAACTAAGTCATCTTCGTAGCTAGAATAAAGTTTACTATTATAGTGTTTTGTAGATACAAGTTTAGTGAAGTGCCCAACAGTGGTTTTATGAACACTGTTTAACTTGGTAGGTGAATAAACTTTGTTGGAAATGAACAAAGAAATGAACTTCCAACCAAAAAAAAAAAACCAGTGTTGATGGTTCACATATCATCTGGTATCATTAACAGGATAGTAAACAAGCCAACCTCAATTTAGTGGCTGTTTTCATGAGAAAGATGGCCTAGAATCATAGCAACCTTACTTAATCACATAGGTGTCATGTTTTTCTGATGCATCTCCAATGAGCTTTTATACCTTTGGTCTGCTAAAGCTTAATATTGGAAGCCAACATTCATTTCCAACAAAGGATTTTCAAGATGTGTGACCTGAGACTGACCGTACTGTCCTCCTTGCAATGTCAGGCAGTAGTGCATAATTGTGGCCACTAGGGTGAGCATCAGAGAAGGTGGTACAAGTAGTTTCAAGGGCGGCATGGAAGGTGGAACACCTTTTTTTTTTTTATAATAAAGTGCAGTTAACTTCAGAAAAAGATGTCAAGTGTTATCACAGTGGAGTTTCTCTTCTTTAACATGTATTTGACATCTTGGGCTGATTACTGCACATTTTGTTTGAGATCACTTTTCTCAGCTGATTGACATTTACAAACTTGTGTATTTCTAAGAGAACTCCATAGAAAGAACTGGAAAAACACAAACACTTGTATAATAATAATAAAATAAAAAAAAAGATTAAGTGCATATGTAAGTGTGAACAAAACCTGAGCAGAGACAAAGTGTTTTTTTAATGGTATAAACTTTTTAACAGTGTATGAAATACTTGAAGACACATTTTAAGTCAAAGATAGTAGATAATTAGGGTTTGGAATAATTATACGTGTAAAGTACAGCTCTGGTTACAAAGAAAATGACTGATTGTGTCATAATTATTACTTCTTTTAATCTAGGTGAAATAGAAAGGTGTATGAAAAAGGTAACTGAGGGTGTTGAAACTTTTGAAGACACATGGCAGAAGGTGAGGAAAAATTGTTTATTCTAGCAGTTGGAAAAAAATGTAGACAGATATTTATATGTTTCTGTAAATATGATTAGTATTGATTTAAAAAAAATTACTGTATCATGAAATTTTAATAAATTGTTTACTTGTAATACAAGTTTTTCTTACAAATTCATGAAGAACTGGACAAATAAAACAAATTTGGCATTTTACATAGAATGATTAAAAATAAACTTAATCCTAAATTATCACACCAAAAGACAGGGTTTATTCTGGCCTTTTTTTTCAACCCTATTACTTTTTACCAAATCAGTTTTTTTTTGCCTCTTTACAATTTTTTTGAACCATAAATTTTGTAGTCAATTTTTAAGATAATTCTAAAGTGTTTTCAACAATTTGGACTCGGATATCTTAGAAATGGATATTTTGTCATTTTCTAACATTTATGAAGAGAAATTCAAATTTTAATTTATGCATAGTTCTGAGAAATTTCGCTGGTAAACAATGTACCTTTTTAAAGACATTTCCTGACCATTCCAAACAATAACTTTATATCTTCTAAGATCTTCTACTTAATTTATGTAACGGCCATGATTGCCACCCCTTTATGATCATAATGAAACACAGCTTTGGAACAGCTATAAAGGAAGTTTAAATATGATTGGTTAAGACTTTTTGATGCCATAGCCAAGTAAATATAGTGGTTTGAACAGTAGTTTGTTATTTTGTGGGAAAGTTTCTAGTTGGAGCTCCTGTAGCATTGACCGAAGGCATTCAATGGGAAGTTTTGGAGACCTAGGAACAAATAGCAGAGTTGGGGAGTTTTTGTAGTTTCCTTAACCATTCTTTTTCATTCATCAACGTTTTTGTGTGTTAAATTATATTTGTATGAATGCTACAGAAATTCTCTCGATGAGAAGACATCAGAGAAGCCTAATTGGATATAGTGTTTATGGTAGCCAACAACAAAATAATCTGAAGATTCAAATCCTTATTTATTGAATGTTTTATGTTTATCCTATTCAAACAAAGTACATAAATAAATTTAATTATTTCTAATTACACTCTCTGGTTGTCAAACATTAGTGCCAAAAGTTTTTAGCTAAATAATTTTTTTTTTAGGAATTAAAAGAACTTCCCATTTTTTTGTTTACACAACTGGTGACCACTAGAATATTTGTATCAAATTAAAAGTGGTTCAAAAATTACTTTAAAAAAACTAGCTGAAAATAGAAAAATCTTATATTAGTTGAATTTAATTGATTAACAAATTCCACTAATTGTAAAGTAAACAAATATATTATTGTACATTTTCCTTCTTTAACTTTGTACTTGTGTGTCAGATGAGGTAATACAAATATCAAGTCTTTCAGAACTTCTTTGTGGTTCATGATAGCTACCGTTAATTAAGTTTTTGTATTTGTAGGTCCAGAGTGCAGGTAACTATAACCAGAAAGAAAAATATGAGGCAGATCTCAAAAAAGAAATTAAGAAACTTCAGGTGAGAAAAGTTTTAATTACTTTTAACAAATTTTAAAACATACTAAATAAAGCTAGCCTTATATGTTTCAGTTGATTCATGCAAATGTTAGTTAATTTGATAAGGTGAAAATTCACAAATGAGTATTTAAAAAAGTGGAAAATTAACAATTATTCGTTTCATGGAATTATTATAGTTCAAATACAGTCAATTCTGAAGAACTGATTGTCAAAACAATGTGTTTCCAGTGTTTTACTTCAGGAATATTAGTCAAATGAAATAAAATTTCAGAAAAAAAATAATGTGTGTGTAATATATATATATATATATATATGTATGTATATCTGTGTGTGTGTAGAATGTTATATGAAACTGTTACCATGCCAGGTAAGTCATGCCCGTCTATTTTAATTGTTAGAATGTTATATGAAACTGTTACCATGCCAGGTAAGTCATGCCCATCTATTTTAATTGTTAGAATGTTATATGAAACTGTTACCATGCCAGGTAAGTCATGCCCGTCTATTTGAATTGTTATAATGTTATATGAAACTGTTACCATGCCAGGTAAGTCATACCTGTCTATTTTAATTAATATAATGTTATATGAAACTGTTACCATGCCAGGTAAGTCATGCCCGTCTATTTTAATTGTTAGAATGTAATATGAAACTGTAATAATTTTACTGTCACTAGCATATTTAAATATTCATGTAAATGTTTTATGTAATAATAATAATAGTTTTACTGTTTATCAACTGTCTGTGAGTACAATCGTTTACTGTGACAGAGACTTGCATCTCTGGACTATCAAAGTTTATCAACTGTCTGCGAGTACAATCATTTACTGTGACAGAGACTTGCATCTCTGAACTATCAATTTTTATCAACTGTCTGCGAGTACAATCATTTACTGTGACAGAGACTTGCATCTCTGGACTATCAATTTTTATTAACTGTCTGTGAGTACAATCACTTACTGTGACACTCTTGTACTAAAAATATTGAAAATTATAATGTATCAGATGACTCTGATTGTGGGTTTTTAACAGTTTGACTATCTCAACTCGGGTAACTTTAACTATGGGTCTTTAAGATTGACTGCATCAACTTAAGTGTTTTTGGTTATGTGTCAACAAAAGTTTGACTGTCTATGGGTATACAACAGTTTGATAGCATCAACTCAAATAGGTCTACAACAGTTTGATTATTTCTACTGGGATTATTTTGATTTATGGCTATTACACTATAATCAAGATTATTTCAAACAGCTTAACTGTATAAATTTAAAAGTGAACTAAAGATTTTCATATATTAGGGCCTACAACGTAAACAGTCCACATGTGAATTTAAAACATTTTAATCCGATGATGGGACATTCTTTTCTATCAACTAAGGCTCAACAAGTTTCCACTTGTTGTTTAACTAAAGAAATAAATAACAATATATAGATGAACTACTTGTAATTGAGATTAGTACTTGTTTATTGGTACATTTTTAATCATAATGTTTCTCATTTCAGAGGCTGAGAGACCAAATCAAAACATGGGTTGCATCAAATGAAATCAAGGATAAGAGAGACTTACTTGAAGCAAGGAAGTTAATAGAAAGAGTGAGGCTGTGTTAATGAAGTAGAATAGTTAAGGGTGATTTAATATTCAGTGTGTGTCTTGTAATTATAAAATAAAGAAACGACTGCGTGTAATATTTTTATAACTGTTTGATACACTGATGGTAATCACCAACAAATGTTAGTTTGTTTGTATTCTGAGTATTTATTATCTTAACTTAATAATATTCAAGTTATATAACAATTTGTTTCTTAAATCTTTTGAAGAATGATTATGAGACCATAAAGAAACTTAAGCTGTGATAAAATGAACCTTGTGAATTGGCCACTTTCAAATATTTTTTTCTACTTATTTTTACCACTTTATCTTGTTGTTATTTATTAGACATTTGGTGTTTTAGTATAAGAGGATAATTTGAAGTCAAACTTTTTGATAGTTGTTATGAACTGCTTTTATAATTTTCTAAAGAAAAACCTTTAGAAGAATAAATGGTAATTAAAATTGTAGCTTTCACTAATAAGATATTGTGCCAGCTAACTCTCTAGTCAGTGACAAAATTTACACAACTTGAACTTGCTCCCTGCTTACATAAATAACTATGAAGCCTATCATATATTTTTTAATTCTACCTTACATTGTCCACATCATTGGTTTGAAGGTTACTCTTAACTCTGTCCTACCAGTAGCTCAGCAGTTGTAGCACTAAAAACCGGGTTTAGATACCCATTGTGGGCACAGCACAGATAGCCCATTGTGTGGCTTTGTGTTTAACAAAAAACAAACTATTAATTTACAATAGTTGAAAGAGTTTTAATATAACTCTAGTAAGCTTATAATGTCTTTCACCTACCTGGTTTTGTTAAGTAATTCTAAATTTTATTATCTTTGTCACCTATTTTATGGTGGAGGTTTGTGCTTTAACTAATCAGTCTTTAAAATAATGGAAAAGTTTTTATTGGCTGGTGGGCTCCTGTGGTTTATATATCTTTGTCACCTATTTTATGGTGAAGGTTTGCACTTTAACTAATCGGTCTTTAAAATACTGGAAAACCTTTTATTGG